CACTTTTCTATTGAGGATTTAACAGGTGGGATAGGCAGTGATGGTTTTTAACTCTTTATCCCATAAAGACAACATTTGATGACCTCCCTGTGCCTTTAGTGTATGTCAATAAAAATGTTCTTTGTTGAGCATTAGAATTTTTTCTGGGTTTTTCTAGTGGTTACTGCATAAGCAGAGATCACGCTCACTAATATCTGATTCCAACCCAGTGATTTTGTTCTTTGAGCAGGCCTGAAATATGACAGGAACTCCTCAGTTCACAAAAGAGCTTCAAAGGTTGCTCCTAGTAGGCCTTCAAAGGGTTAAAAAGAATTTTAGCTGGGAAGTTGTGGAAGATGGTTGTTCCAAGCTTCCTTGAATTTCAAACTAGCATTTGAAGCTAAGGTTTTAACAACAACGATGGAAGCTTTTAGCTTGTTCTTTCTGCATTACCTCATAGCCTTTCTGTGTTACCTCTTTACTTTTCTTAGTTTCTCATTCAAGCCATCAAGTCAGATTTATTCAACACTGTTGGTAAGTGATTTGAGAATTCCTGCATAAATCCCCAAATCATTTTAGGGCAGGTCTACAGTGCATCCAGGAAATATTCACAGTTTGCCTGAAATTCTTGAAAATTTGTTAAGAAAACTAAAGTACAACATGCATATAAGTATTCACAGCCTTTGCTCAGTACTTCATTGAAGCATCTTTGGCAGCAGTTACAGCCTCCCATGTTTTTGAGTACGATGTTACAGGCTTTCACATCTGTTTTTGGCCAGTTTCTCCTCGTCTTTGCAGAGCCTCTCAGGTCATTGTCCTGTTGAAAGATGAACTCTGCTCCAGCCTGAATTCCTAAGGTGATCTGAAGGCTGCATGAAGTTTAGAGGTCTCTAGTGACTGCAGCAAATTAACATAATCAACCATAAAACAATAACTATAAGAATAGATCACAGAAGTCATGTTGAATCAACACAAATTCAATCTTATGTGAATACTTTGGATTTACTGGGGAAAATTAAGTGAGGAGGAAAAGAAGAAATCACATGAGCTCACCACGTGTCACTGATGAACTCATTAAAATCAAGTAAATTCAAAGAACAGTGTGGGCTTTGATGGAAAATGTCGTGCTGCTGAAAACAAGCTGTTATAATGTGTAGCTGTTAATAATTAATGTTAACAAAAGAATTAATGTTACTAATGATTCGGTGTCCAGCCTAACAGACCCAAGTCAGTGTTTCTGGCCCGTGTACATTTGCACTGGGATTCTGATATTTTAAATATT